GGCACCTGAGTGGCTCAGTCTTTAAGCGTCTGCCTTCGGCTCAGGTCCTGATCCCAGGATCCTGGGATCGAGCCCCGCATCGGGCTCCCTGCTCCACGGGAAGCCTGCTTCTCCCTCTCCCACTCCCCCTGCTTGTGTTCCCTCTCTCGCTGTCTTTGTCTGTCAAATAAATAAATAAAAATCTTTTAAAAAATTAAAAAAGAGGAATAGACGAGGGTCACGGTTCAGGCAATGAGGACTTTGTTAAGCAGAAAATATGAGAGTTTTCAATTAGCTAAATGATTTTGGAAGACCACCTGTTTTTCTCAATCAGAACAAAGTCTTCGACTCTCATGTGGACATTATTGCCAGACACGTTTGTTGGCTTCCTTCCGTGATTTTTCAGCGCGTGGCTTCGTGCCGTGGAAAGGACGCAGTGACCATTGCGACGTGTCGTGAGTCGATTTGTGCATACTTAGCGATGAATTCACTGATAGAGGATTTTCGGTGTAGGCCATCAGGACTGTGCCTTTCACTGCGGTGTCTGGTTGATACCAGCTCTACACTTCACTGGATGTCGGTTTAAGGCTGAGTTGGCTTAACACAGATGCATCTTTTGTTTGGGTGGGTGTGTGTGTGTTTCATACTCTCTCACAGGGAAGAAGAAAAGAAAAATCGAAAGTGGACACCTATTACGGATGACAGCTAAACAGACTTAAAGGACAGGACCCTCCTGGTGTAAGAGCTCATCTGCCAAGGAGCTTGTCGGGAGTCCTGAAGGCCGGTCCTCGCCCAGCCACAGGTGTCGTGTGTCACTTGACGTGTGTTGCCATCCCGGAAAACTATTTTTCCTTAATAGCAGTAGCCTCCTCCAGAAAGGGCTAGTGAGCTCTCTGATTGAAATGACAGACCAAAATAAAAATGGTCTTTCCTCTTCTGCTACTGTTATTGTTGACCAGCTCCCGCCATAGCCTGAGCACACGGGAAATCCTCAGTTAGGGTGGTGCTTATTTTTAGAAGTACTGTAAGCTCCGTGGGTATGAACACAAGGCATTTGTCTTAGCAGTTAACAAATTGCCATCATGTTAACAATTTCCCTCTTGTGCTACTAAATCACCAACAACTAGAAGTAGAAGTCGTATTATCAAGTGTGGGCTGTGATTTAGAAAGTGTTTATCTAGACTCATCTGAGCCAGTAAAGAAAGTTGGATTTCTCATTGAAGACTTAAATCTTGCCTAAAATCTTGTCTGTGTCCCTGAAGGCTGAATGACCTTGAGAAAATCCCCTCAACATTCAGAAACGTGGTGTCTCTTCTTCATCATGAGCATCAAAACATCTATCCTAAACATGAAGTGAGCGAAAACAAGTAAAATAAAGACTTGTGGGGCTGCTTTAAGACACTACGTCCAATTTTGAGAGATCCTCACTTTCCTTAATGCTTCTACATTCTAAAAACAATTTAGATGATTCCACAAGAGAAAGAAACAGAATGGGATTCAGTTGATATACCAGATTCAATTTCTCATAAACTAAATAGCTATTTCACTGGACACGTAACTTCCTAGCTAACGATTCTGGAATTGTTTAGGCACGTTCGTGGAGGACCCAAGGAGGAGCAAATGTTGACCTTTCAACTTCAGAAGCATCCCCTGATGGTATTTTTGTTATTTTCAACTTATTCTGGAATCCTCCCTTCTGAGAAAAAAGTCAGCTTTTGGAAAGAATTCCTGTGGACCCCATTGCCATCGCTGCACGCCCATCTTGCGAAAGGTTACGTTTTGTTCGCAGTGACCGCAAATGCTGCTGTGGGCATAGTCACAGACTGGAGAATTGAGACAACTTGAGATTTAACCCAATATTTAAAAATAATTACTATTCCCACCACTATTGCACTATCTCAAATGATATTTTTCCCTTAATTATGTAATTAATTGCCTCTGATTGAAAACACATGGAGCACCACAGCCTCAGAGAGCAAGAGATCATGATTTTCCGTCTGCCAAAAAAAAACCTGGGAGGTAGACAAAATAAAAATCTGTGACAAAATAAATGTATCGCCAAGACTCAAGTATACTTTGTTTTTGCATGTAAACAAATATTCCTGTTTATGAGATTAATGCATCAGAGGCAACAGTGACAACTTCTCTGAGAGAGAGCAGGGGCCGGTGGTGCCTGGCGCTGGAGACGGGCGTTCAGGTGGTGCTCTGCCAGCTGGAGGAACTTTCCGGAGCGCCGAAGTTGTGGGTATGAAGTATGTGCAGCTGTAATATGTGGGTGGTCCCACATTCTTCCCAGAGTCTGAATTCAGCTGTAAGGCAATGACTCCCAAATGCACATCCCTAGACCAGATCACTATTCTGAGTTCCAACCAATAAATCCAACTGCCTGGAGGACCTTGCTCTTGGGATAAGGGCAGGTCCCTTCCACCACTTTTCTAAACTTCTGGTATCATGAAGTCTTTAAAAGCAGGGGCTCTAGAGGCTTCTGGGTGGTGCGGTCAGTCAAGCATCTGACTCTTGGTTTTGACTCAGGTCATGATCTCATGGTTTGTGGGATCGAGCCCCACATTGGGCTCCGTGCTTAGCGGGGAGTCTACTTGAGGATTCTCTATCCCTCTCCCTCTGCCCCTCCCCACTGCGTGCTCTCTCTCTCTCTCTCATGCGTGCTCTCTCTCTAAAAAATAAATAAATAAATCTTAAAAAACAAAAAAAGCATGGGCTCTAGAGCCAAATTGCCCAATTTAAATCCTGACTCTTCTACTTTACAAGCTGTGTGACCTTGGCCAAATTACCTAGCCTCTCTGTTCCTTAGTTTCTTCATCTATAAAATGGCGGAAATAGTAATACGCATCACAGAGTGATTTGAGAATTAAGTCAGTTAGTTTGTGAAAAGGGCTTAGGATACTGCCTGACACATAGTAAGCACTCAATAACTGCCAAATTCTCTTGTTGTGATTCTTCTTCTTTGTTTCAGTGAATGGCTCCAGGAGTCATCCAGCAATTTAAACTTGGATCCAACTCAGGGACCAAACACTGACAGGCTCAGTGACCTTGGGCAAGTGACTTCACATCTTTGAGAGCCTCATTCCTCATTTGGGAAATGGGCTTGACAGAGATTTCTAATACGCACTTAGTGAGATGACCCGAGCAGGGTCTGAGGGCTTGAGGCCAGAGTGAAATGAAGGTAAGCAATTGCTACTATGATCTTGGACTCTTCCTCCCCCTAGCTCCCATTTCTAATCATTTAGCAAATTTTGTTGCTTCCAACCCTTAAAAAACTCTCGAACAGCTCCCCTCTTCCTTGCAGTGCCTCCCACCTTTTATCTTTCATCTCCTGTTGAGCCTGGTAACCCAGCCTTTGGCTCTGCGGGCCATCTGCAGCCCTCCCCTGGAATGAGATTCTCAGGCATAAGGCGGTCAGATCCCTGCTCCCACCCGTCCCAGGCTTCCTTCTCTCACTTCCAGCATCCAGGAGGAGCTGTCTGCCCAGAAAGATGCTGCACCTGTGCTCTGTCCTGGCTCCAGCCCAGCTCAGCTCCCCATGTGGACACCCCACCCAGTCGCAGCTCCCCACGCAGGCCCCTGGGTGCCACCACCCGTGCCCGTCCCCCAGGCATAGGAAACAGCAGGACAAGAGACAAGAGGGCAAACCATGCAAAGCCGTCTCTCCAGATGTCTGTACTCTATGAAATTACCATTCTTTGTATGTGTTTGACCTGCCAAGCCAGCAATTTTGTATGAGCCCATCTAATATATGGAAGAGAATACAAATTCTCCCTTTACTTTTGAGTTGAAATTTGAGAATTCACATACTCTTTTTTTTTAAAGATTTTATTTATTTTGGGGGTAGGGCGCAGAGAGAAAGGAAAGAGAATCTCAGGCAGACTCCCTGCTGAGCACAGAACCCAATCCTGAAATCATGACCTGAGCCAAAACCAAGAGTTGGACGCTCAACAGACTGTGTCACTGATGCCCCGAGAATTCACATATTCTTTTGAGTGTGCCAGTGATTGTCCTGGAGGCGATGGGAAAGCTTTGGGATTTCGCACTCGCTCCTCACTGCCATTAAGGTTATTTAAGGGAAAACACTGGTTGGTTGGTCCCTTCACTTCTTCTCTAGCAACTTGACAGACAGGACTAGCCCTGCTCCCTGCGCTCGCCCAGTTGTGCTTCTGCAGAACACTCACTCTGTGGTCCCTGCCTTTCCGTGTGGGTCCCCCCTTTCACCCCTTTACTGTCTCTCCTCTGTAGACTCTGAAAGCAGGGCGGTGTCCCATTGGTTTCTATTTTCAGAGCCCAGCTCAGTTCCTGACACATGCAGAAATACTACATTATCAAGAGGCAAAGCTCATGAGTCCCCAAAATAAATCACATGTCACAGGAAAAGCGAGCTGAATATCTGACTAAGCTTTTTCTTGAATCTATTTCCAGCTCTCTAAGATACACCCCTGAGCTGTAACAGCTACAAGAGATGGTCATTGAGGTCGCGGATGATGTAAGCCCTCGCGGGTTGATGTCACTGTGTGACGTGCTGGTCGATGGCCGAGGAATACCTTAAAAGTGTTTGAAGTAAAAGTTTTCAACAGCTGTGAGTAAATAACAGTCTTGCAGACTACGAGGACCTACAGGTATAGCAGTTCCTTTGAAAACATTTCAGATTATCTGCACGTTATTTTTTTTCCACGAAGATTGCAATGGGCTCTGTCTATTCCAGCCTCCACTGGTACTCCTGGGACCCGTTGCCCTCTTTGGCAACAGAACTGCACCCTTTCCAAGGCAACACGCCAAACAGAAATCTTTTTTTATTTGTTTCTATGGTTTTGTTTTGGAGAAGTTCGGGTGTTTTGTTGTGTGGTTTTTTTTTTTTTTCTGTACCTTTTGTCAACATTTGGGTTACAATAGCTGTGACAGTGGCCAAGCTGATAAGAAGGGAAAACCTTTTAAAAGTACAAACCTTGAGCAAGAAAGGAAATTACCAAATAGAGAATTTTCATTCTCCTCGAATGAAAAACAGCCTGAAATTAAAGCAGCATGACTGGAAGCCCGCTCTGTTTTTTTGTTTTTGTTTTTGTTTTTGTTTTTTTAACTGGCTTTTGAAGTCAATAAAGAGCCAATTCTGTAAATAGAGCAAAGCAATAGCCCTTCCTCCCCCATGCGTCCCCCAACAGGAGCTCCTTGGCCCCAAGAATGCCATGAACCCAGTGGCTCAAGAATTGTTCTTCAAGTACAACTGTTCTTCTACAGTTTTCTGGCCCTTTAAAGAGACTCACCAATGAAGTCGGCCTTAAAATTGCAGTGCTTTTAAAAAAAAAGTGCGGACTAAGCTTGATCAGGAATTTTGACATCTCTTGAATGTAAGGTCTACAAACGGACTTGTTCTTATTTGGAGCTGCGGAGGTGAGGAGAGGGAGCACAGAGGGAGGTAGATCGAGTGCCGGGCAGGTGTAAAAACTTCGGCCAGTTAACTCTGTCTTTGTGGGACTCAAGGCTTGAGGGCTGGGCAGGGAGAGATTCCAGAGGTGGCAGTCCAACGATTCTTTCTTTGGGTAAGGAGAGGATCTTGGTGGTTCATCAAGGTTCCTTTAACTCAAAGACTCTTAACTTTGCTTCTTTGGACCTTCCACTCCCTTCTTAGATTAATTACTTGACAATAAAAACCAAAATGCAAAGAAACACAGAGTAGTTCTGCAAAAATCAATTGCCCTGAGTAGTTCAGAAGATGGGTATATTAGATTTCACCTTCTGTCCCTGAGACTCTCACTTCCTTCAAACCCGGACGGCGGTGAAGTTGCCGCCAACAACATCTGTTGAGCTGCTGTAGCAAGGGTATCTCACTCCTCAACTGTCTAGCCTTTTCATAAAAAGATGCATGCTTGATTTTCAATTATTGTAGTTCTTCATGCTGATCCAGGGTGAGAATAAACTATATCCCAACAGAAGGAAATGGAGGCCATGTCCCAGCCACCTTCATCCAGCAGGTCTAGCTTAAAAACCGTGAAATTTTGGATTTCTTAAGTCTCTTTTCAAGTAGATAAAATTTTTCAAGTAGATGGTTTAGCCAGCTCAGGCTGCTAGAACAAAACACCATAGATTGGGGGCTTCGAAACAGATAATTATCTCTCATGGTTCTGGAGGCTGGAAGTCCAAGCTCAAGGTGCCAGCAGATTTGGTTCCCGGTGAGGGCCCACTTCTTGGTTTGCACATGGCAGTCTTCTTGTTGAGAGGGCTATTTTAGTAAATGAGCCTCCCAACCCTGCCTCCTGCTAAACTCTAAAGACAACATGTTTAAAGCTTATGGCTGTTTCAGTAGGAGGTGTGTTTCGTTCCATTTTGTTTTGTTTTGCTTTGTTTTGTTTTCTGGTAGAGTTCTTTAACAGTAGACTTAAAGGTAAACTTGATTATACCTTTGTAGTTCATTCCCACATGCAAGGGATCGGATTTTCTAGAAGCTGGAACTCTTCATGTTCCACATCATTTGTCATCACAAAATGCAGCTTCATAAGAGGAAAATAGCTATGTTTTTTCAGGCAGGAATATGCCTTCAATGACTAGGCTGTGGTCTTTGAATCATGGTGATAAGGAAATTACTGTCTTCTATACTTTCTTATGTACTACGTTGTTTGCCAGGAAAATATCTGGATTGTATGTGAATAATTCAAGGTGTTATAGCCTTTTCTCCTCTTTTCTGATGGCCATACTCCTACTCCTCAACCCCCCGCAGAAAAAAACTGGAGGGTGGTTATTACAGAGTAACCGTCTCACTGATTAGGGGAAAAGTCCATCTTGGAGGATCATGGGATGCTGTGATCCATGTTGTTTCCCCACACCATGTTACTGAGTGACAAGATAAGACAGGACAGGAAGCAAGAGCTTTTGGAAGGATTTTGCCAGGCCCTAGGAAGGGTTTAAAGCCCCTAAAACTAGCAAGAATATGTTAAGTTCTATTTGGGGTAATCGAGGTAAACATCCAATTAAAGGATTTCTTGCCAGAAGTTAAGGAGTCAACACATTTCAGAGTTTTTTTCTAAGTCCCAGTGGTACCACCAAAGCAGTACCAGTATCAAAAAAGGCAATCCCAGGAGAAGGGGACCTTGAGCCCACAAACACTGAACAAACATCAGGTCCCAAAGCCGTGGCAATAATGGCTGAATTTAAGGCAAGAAGGTCCTTACGTTTATCTAGGTTTTGTTTGTTTGTTTGCTTAAGCACTTACTTTTGTATAGTAAAAAAAAAAAAAAAAAAAAAAAATCCCTGTTAAGAAATTGATTCTGCACAAATGGTACTGATTGATTAGCAAGGATTTTAAAGATATTTTTTTAAGTAACATGAGATGAGTCTGCTAATACGTGTCCTAAAACACTCATGACTGGAAAGTCATCTTAACTGTAAGTACTGGGTTTTTTAACAGATGCGACTATTGTGGCAGCCATTGAGATGACCAACCTAGTGCCAGGAAAGAAAGACACTCTTTCTAAAGGGTATAGACACCTTGCAAATAAAATCTTATTTTATTAACTGGCAGAATCACAAGTAATCAGTAGAGCAAAGCAGGAATGAATGTTAAATAGCTATCTCCATGTATGAATCTAAGGCACTCATAATCCAGTATTTATAGGAGAGAATATGATAATAAAGAAAATCATGTTTCCATAATTAAATTGTTACCCTTTGAACATGTTATTTAGAAGATTTAAACATAAAGTCATATTTTAAATATACTTTTTAAGTGATCTATAATTACGTGGGAAAACAAAGCATTGCAGCAAACATCCTGTCCTAGAAACAAAATGTCTGCTGCATCCCTGCTTAGAACCTGAAATAATTAATACCTCTGACCTCAATGTTGCAAAGTATTATCATTTCTATTTTGCCTATAGGGGAGTGTTTTGTGAAAACTCGTTTATAACACTGCAAGTGGCTATGTATTATTGAAACTAAGTAAGAAGTAGCTTGCTTAAGGCCACTCATAATAACAGTTCCAAAAAGGAGAAAAATTCAGGAGTGTCAGGCTATTAATTTTTAAATTTATTTGGATAAAATAAATTTAAATATACATTATTTTGTGATTTAGTTAAGATTATCTATAGTCAAGCCTTTGCAATCCAATTTGAACTACTCTTCAACCAAAAGACAGGGAATACAGGTTGAATGGGGGGGAAAATGGGACAAAAAAGAGTATGATATCTATAATATTCTTCAAAGTCTATGATTTTAGATGCCATAGCAATGGCAAAGATAAAGACAAGATCATGAATGGTCTTGAAGTGGAATCATCCGTCTTAATGTTGATTAAGATCAAGATGACTTTTAAATTTATATAAGACTCATAATCATACTTTACAAATTTAAATTTATTAAATTGATCAGATTCATCACTAAACCTCCTCCTAAGCCTGTATTCTCTATCTCATTTGTTGGTATAGCTATCTACTCATACTTTCAAGCAATAGACCTAGACCTATCCTTGACTTCTCCCTCTCAACATTCATATCTTATCTCCAAAATATAAACTCAATCTCTCCTTCACATCTGCATCAACACTACTCTTGTTCAGGCTCCCATCTTGTTAATCACTGCATTAACATCCTTACAGCACAAGGCCTCCAGTTTTGTGCACCTTAATTCCATTATTTTCAAAGTCACAGTCCATTGAATCAGAGCAAGGGAAGTTAGTTGGGTGGCCACAAAGCATACTAGCTGGATGTGCCCATTGGGGTATGGTACTGATGAGCCATTTCTCCTAAAACTTTTTATGTCTTTCAATCACCTATAGGATAAGAACCCAACTCTTTGACATCCTAGTGAATCTTTCTATGACCTGTCCACGGATATCTTCTCTTTGTCCCATCAGGCTGATCCGTGTGCATTATTTCGGCGGACTCCTTATTTCCAGCTGGGCTCTGCCAATAGGGAGTACAGGCAGATTGGAGGAAAGGAACGGAGTGCCGTCAGACTACCTTCGCTCCAGCTCCCTCCCTGCATTCTCACCTCACCTTCCTCAATAGAGGACTGGTCCTCTTGTCAGGGTGGCTCCTCCACAGAGCACTCTCTGTCTCCAGAGTCTGGAGGACGTTCATGCCTACGGGCAGTAGCACTGCCCTCCTCACAGGTCGGCACTTACCTCTGTGCTTCCCTGGACTCTGGGCGCAGCTCGGATCATAGAGCCTTGATCAAATTGTGGAACCTGGTAACCTACTGCACTGCTGGAGACTCACTGCCAAGTTGGCTTCCTGGTCACTCCCTTTCGTTTCCAATGTTGACCCATCCTCTTTCCCCGCCTCTTGCCAACCCCCTTCTCTGTACTGAAGAGTTCTCTCCTTATGTGCTCTAACCTACTATCAGTGGGCCCCATAGGTGCATTCTTCTAGAACAACATCATTTCTCCATACTTAAGTTTAGGGTTGTGTGTGCTTAATGTAGGCATGTAGTATCTCTTCCTTGTACAATTCCAGAATCTATTTTTTGTTAAATCTTGGCATCTACACTCAGACAGTTGAAGTCATCATTCCAGAATCCCTCCACTTTCTCAAAGTGCTTTGGGCACTTTATCTCATTAACTCAGTTCCTGGTAAAATGAGATGAGTGTAGCACTTTTTCTCCCAAAGTTGGTATGGGGATTAAATGAGATAATTCATGTTAATTTCTCAGCCCAATTCCTTAAGTGTGGGCTCTCAATATCCTTGCTGAATGTTATTTTCTTTTTTTTCTGTATAGGCAAAAAAGGAATTCTCACTTCTTCTAATAGTGTCTAGTCATACTCTGTTCCACTCTTTTCACTGATACCAGGTTCTAGATCCATGTGTCTGATACATGACCATTCAAATTGGACTACAAAATGTTAAGCAAGAGTTCCACTCAGACACCCCACTGTCAAAACGCCCTCACAAGATAAATCCTGCGACGGTCCTGCTGTGTGTTGGACACCCTACCTGCTGTGTCATCTCGCTGGATCCACACTAAATCTCCTGTGTATGGGTGAGCGTTAGAGAGCGTAAGGAACTCACCCAAGGTCATAAACGGATGGGGGGGTGGAGCTTAGAGCTAAACTTTTTCTGACTGCAAAGCCATCTTTCCACTACATGGGTCCCCAGTTGAACATCTACAACTTGTAAAACACTGTCATGCAAACTGCAAGGGTTACATAGAGGAGAGTTTTGACTACTTCCCTAAGGCAGCATAAAGAAATTACTAGCTCTGCCAAGCTGGAATCCTAATCGGTAATAAGGGAGTTGTATTGACGAACCGTGAATATTACATTACAAACTGTCACATAAATACTCTGTAGTTCTTTCCGAGTGTTCTGGAGGGAGCTGCACGTGTGTGTAAATGTCTGCTCGGAGCCTCCAGCATCCACCAGCCTCTACAATCTTCAGGGTGTGTTCTTCTCTGGCTGTCGT